CCCCAAAACCCCAAAACCCCAAAACCCCAAAACCCCGGGACAAAAATAAAAGAATGAAATTAAAATATGGCTCTAGTTATATACTAAATAGAGTGTTTTTATTGGGAATGTTCTGAGTTGTGCTCATTGTGCTCTCGTAGGTGGTGTGGTTGGGGATAACTGATATTTGGGTGGGAAGGCTGAACTCTTCAGGGATGAAAGAGGATTTAGGGGTAACAATTTTAAGCTTAGGAGTATTTTTTGAGGGTTCTTCTGGAATATCAGGAAGAGAGAACTGATCTTTCGTTAGGGCAATGAATTTAGATGCTCATATTAGAGTGTAAATTGATCAAAACAATATCATAGTCAGTGCTACTGTTGTTCATACATTTCTAAATCCTAGTACTTCTGACAAGTGGCTCGCATACAGAGCTCCAAAAGTTTGGCCAAATTTTACACAAAAGTTAAAGATTCCTGATGATAGATTGTTAACACTAGCTTTCTTTGCTGGGAATCTCTCCTCTGCATTCTCAATCATGACTACTAGTGACGGAATCATCAAAGAAATCAAGAAGATTCCTACCAACACTTGCCCAATCATCATCAGAATGAAATTGTGAGGAATAGGCTTGCTGGGCCCAATTAACAAGTGGTTGCAGCCTCCCAGAAACAGACTCCATGCAATAATTACTCTGTTGTTGATTGCTCTGGACAACAAAGGCAAAAACAATAGAGTGCATAACAAGTAGCCAATTGAGTTCAAGCTCATGAAAAGACACACCTGCAAGTCTGAAAGATTGTAGCGTTTGAGCTCAATTGGAATCACTGGTAAAAAGTAAGCAAATTGCAAAGTTGATAGTACAACAGTTGCTGTTGTTAAAAAGAATACAGTATTGCACAACAAACCTAAGTAACTCGCTTCATTCAATGCCATTGAGCTTCTTACTGAGATACTACTCTGATTCGATTCTTGATCACTCCTTGCACTACTCTGGTGCAACAATGGAGTTTCTTGGTCATCGGTCAATTCAGGCAGTTTGTAATATACTACTGGCAGCATTATCAGCAAAAATCCTCCTAATGAGTAGAATGTACCTCTAAACCCAACTGTTACATACAGGACTCCTCCAACAGCAGGTCCAGCAACCATCCCAAGTCCTTGGGCTCCTTCCAAGTATGAAAAGTAAGTTTGCTTTTGCTCTTTGAACATAACTGAAATTACAGCAAAGGCAGTAGTCTGTATCATACTAATCGAGAATCCTTGGCATGCTCTGGATAGCAGACAAAATGCAACAGCTGTATTAGAGTCTTCAATGAAGCTGATTCAACTGAAAAGAATCAGAGCAAGGCCCAGAGTGCAGATTCCAAGCATGAGAATAGTCTTACGCCCGTAAGCGTTCATTAATTTCGCCACAAAAAGTGCACCAAACATTGAAGCAGCAGGATTGATCGCAAAAATGTAGCCAAAAATGGCTTCGCTTATATCATGGTCTGCCAATTGTAAGGGCAATAGTGGAACAACGAGAGGATCTCATAAATTAGATATGAGTCAAACACTAATTAGAACAATGAAATCAATAGTCCTCATTTTATTTAATATCCTTATTAATAATTCTAAGTTTCGATCTAATAATCCGACTATGGGGTTTTGGGGTTTTGGGGTTTTGGGGTTTTGGGG